TATTATAGTCACACAACTACTGAAAGACTTTAATACACGTCTGACTCATAGGGTGTAACTACGAATGAGCGATCATTAAATGATTTAAAACCTCTATCTCAAAACAGTTAAAGGGAAAAGGGAAACCCAAGATTGAGAAAGTACACTCATAAAAGGGAATGAGACATTCACCATAATAATTACAAATCTTTTTGTCTTCAATGGGGGTCAATACACCCTATTTGGAAGAATGACTTACATCTATAAAGACTCTATCAAGGTTACTCTTTCGAGCAAAGATATAAACAATAGATGAGAGGACATGATCAACCCAAGATGAGGAACATATTCTTTTGCTTTTCGACTCATGACAGGCATTAATTTCTTCGTCACAAAAAGATATTATATTGTAGAAATGTAAGTGACAAAGAAACAAAAATAGCTTCTCAAGTAAATGCAAAATAGACTCGTCAAAATCACATGATGGCTTACCAAAAAGTAATATAACACTACCAAAGCTCCAGACTGCCTTAAGAAGACACTAAAGTATTTTAGTTTCTAAATTATGATAGAACCTACGAAAAGACATATGTAGCATGTGGCACATCAAAGGTGTGAATTTCGAAGGACATTGACTTGATCTTTAGGCTTTCCATTTGAGCCAGGATGCGACCGACACGAAAAGGCAAAAATGACAAAATCCTTCACACTGCCAAGCATAAACAAAAGCTTATGGTCAACTGTTATGGCCCCAAAGAGGGGCCAACGACTGTGGCCTAGAGAAAGCAAAAATCCATATAATCGCATGCACAGTAAGGGTATTACCTTAGGGAAAAGCGTAGGAGATCCAGGTACAAGATACATCCAACGACTCCCCCCACATCCTACGCTTGAAGAATAATCCGTGGTTAGACCACTCCACTATATAAATGGAAAATTCGACGTTCCCTATATACACAATTTCAAATTCAAATTTCATTCACTCATCTTACTCACATATTAAATTAAGTGTTTGAGTACTAACCTTACAAGTCAACCTTATTCACGATATTAGAAGTTTAAGTCTACCGTTATACAATATAAAAATATGAAAAAAATATTTTAGTGTATATATATGAAAAATAAGATTACTTTGATAGTGAATAAAAAAAATACATTACACCCTTTTAGGGAATACACTTATACATTTCAATTAGCATTTTAAAGTGATAAAAAAATTACCATTTTAAAGTCCATTACAACTATTAAATATTTAAGAATATTATTACTTTTAAAATTATACACTCATTCAATAATAAATAGATTTAATTGAAATACACCGATAAAATAATAAAAAAAATTAATTTTTATTTTAACAATTTATTATAAAATAATGCGAACGGATGATAGGAATGAATTGATAGTTATATTGCCTCTACATATTAGTTAATTAATCTCAATAATGACTTAATAGTTTTAATAGTGATAGTGGGTAGTAATTAAAACTTTTAAACTATAAATAAATAAAGTAAATAACTGTACCAAGAAAGCAAGAAAGCAAAAACGCAAAAGTTGACGAAACAGAAACGAATCTTCGTTGCTCTCTCTCTGCTCATAACTTCGACCTGACAAATTTCCGCGCCCACCTCTAGGGTTTCTGTCTCCACTCGCCACCCACTGTTCATCACTCACTTGTGAGTTTTCTCTTAACATTACCATGCTTCCATTCTTCCATGTCTTATATCTAGGGTTTACCGTATCTCTCTTAATTTCAATTTCGAGCTTGTTTTGAAACCTGATTTACCTTATCGTTAATTGCTTTGATGCGTATCTGATTCTATTTGAATGTTATGGCTTTTCGAATTTATTGCTTGTGTATGGATTCGTACTGTTATCTATGTCGTTTATGAGGAAAATTACTGCGGAAAATTGAGATTTCCCCATCGCAAATACTGAGTGAATTCTAGAGACATGAAAATGAGGTACCGATGAAACTGCGACCGTAGCAAATTCTTAGAACTTCTCTTCTTCTGATCCCGTTGATGTGCTTTAATATTATTATAACATTATTTTAAACCCAACGCACTCCTTCATTCTTTGGGGTGTCGTTGATAAAACTAACTGCGTGACCTAGATGCTAAGATATTAGTTATAGGTAGTTCCATAGTTGGGTCGGGGTCCCTTCCTATGTGATTTAGTTCTATGTATCTCAGTAAGAGTACGTTATTCCAAGTGCTAATGTGAGATACAATTTTTCTGCAGTAATTTCATGTGATCAATGCGTGGAGGTGTTACCAAGTTCCAATCAAAGTAGCTGACATAAATGTTTCAAATGGCATTTGATCTTTCCACAAAAGCAATATTGGATATTTAACTCATTAGTCAATTTGATATTGGATAGTTTTGGAAGGGAGAAGCCTTTATATATATTCCAAGATAGCAGAATAAACCACTGGCTAGTTCAATGACGGGAAATGATGTGTCACGTTATCTTATTAAGTTTTACCAGACTCATTAGTGCCCTATACGCATCAATCAAGAAAAGTATTGGATGAAATCAATGCAATACACATTTAGCTTTGATATGAATTTAAGTGGCCAATTGTTGAATGTGTTGAAGACTGTGTATGAGATGCTTCGAATTCTAGATGTTATTAAAATGATGTACAAGCGCCATCACATCACAAATATAGATATTTCATTGGTTGAAGAATAATCATAGGCTTTGGATGAGCCAGACTCGCGTATTTGTCTGACCGATGATTGAATGCATCTTTGCTCAAATAAACTGACATCAGTTTGCTGACTTGGCACATGTTCTCCTTAATATGACTACACCAAATAGTTACATATGACTAGGAAGAGTCTCTATCTGATTTTAGACTTGCAAGCTAGTTGCATTGCTAAAGGTTTATGTATTTATTAGGTTTATGCATTCATTAAGAAATGCTTAGGTTGAGTTTGATGTATCATATAAGGAAAATATGATCGAGAGCAAACAATATCAGAGATGTTTGGTATTATGACCAAATCTTGTTATCCCAATTCAACCCGACAAAACTATCTTCTCATAAGTCAATTATATGACCTTATAGGACACCCTTTCCACCTTGGTTTTTGTTTATCAAATATTTGCCATTACTGTGCTATTCAGATCCTCTTTCCATGTTAATCTGGTATCGTCAGTGAATTATACATACTCGATTTCTCCCATTGGCACTAATGAGGCTCTTTGGAAATTTTTTTTCATTGCTTATCGTCAGTGAATTATAATCTCCTCATTTGAGATTTTATTGGCTTGAGTACGTTCAGAAAAAAAATGATAACTTGGTGCTATAGAGACTGTTCCACGTGTTCCAGTGTTCCAGGGATCAGAGATGAAGAAAGATGTGGGAAAATGGGACGGAAATATAAAGTTTCACTCTAAGCTGTTTTACTGGAGGTCATGCATAGCTATGTTTTTTTTTTATGTTCTTTTGCTAACTTGGCTAAAGTATAGGTTCCTTTTTCTGTGGAATAAGGAATTCTTCTGCTGCAATGTAGAAGGCAGAACAACCTTCTCCATCTTGATATATTGAATTCTAACGAAATTGGCAGTTTTGTTATAATAAATATATTTGTATTTGATAGAAAAGTCAAGAGAGATTGAATCACCGTCGGCGAGAAAATTTATTAAAAAGAAAGTAAAATAAGATCAAAGCTCCCAACCAAAGAGCAAACATCTGGTCCCAAGCTCAGCTGAAAAGGTGAAAGAAGTTCCATACCCCTCCTCCTCATGACTAACCACCCTGTTTAGAAAATCCCCACCAATCTATTTTCTTACAAACTTTCTTGCAACAGGTATTAAGCCCCACCTATCTGCGAGAGTAGACTTGCGTAAGCATTTTGGGCTTAATAATATCTGTGTTGGCGGTCAACACTTTTTTATTTTTTAAATTTTCATAACAATGACCAAACACACTCTTTTTTACAGCGGGGACTTATATTTTTTCTTTTTATTGGTGGGTGATATGCCCTTATGCACTCTATCCTCCTGTTTGATCAGTTTTATCATGGTTGGGAGAATTTTTAGGCGACTCTTTATAAATCTGTTTTGACTCTTATGGTGTTGTGTTCAGTCTTGCTTTGAATGAATTTTTCTACCTCCAAATTTTAGACTTTATCTCAGACCGTACTTGAAGGTGAAAATTAGGGAGGGTAAATGAAAGGTTGGAGTTTTTATTCTTTTTTTACACTGTAGAGAAGGTGGATGATCAATGGATTAAAAACTAATTTCAATTCTCTTGCATATTAGGAACAAAATTCAAGGAGTAGAATTATTTATAATTATGATCAATGCCCATGATTAATTTTTTACCAAAACATAATGGTGTGAACAAAATTTGTAAAACTCCTTTCACATTTTTAGCATGAAATCTGTTCTTGGTTTTTTTAATTATTCACAGTCCTTTCATATTGTTTGGACTATTGGCATTAAATTTGCGTCAAAACATCACCGGTTTTCTATGAAATCGTAAATGATAAAATTGGTTAGCGTAAATTGTGCCTCTTAATTAAAAAGTAATGTGTTGTTTTATTTCTCAAATAAGTCTTATATCAACTCTGACCCTCTTTTTTGTTTTTTTTAAAAAAAATTAATTACTATTATTATTATTATTATTTTTTTTTTTTTCTATTTTTTTATTTATGTTAAATCTTTCTAGCATGTTTAGCCTACTTAATCTATAGAACAGATACACTTCTGTTTTTGGCGCTAGTTGAAAATCCTGTTGGTTCTTCCTTATGCGAATATATCCAATCTGTCTGTTGTACTGTATGATATCTAAGCTCAACCCTTGACACACAATGTTTAATTGGATTTATTCCATCATAGAACTTGAAGAAACAACTGAAATTGCTATGGAATGAATAGTATTTTTAGCTAATTGTTTCTATATGGGATAGATGTTTTTCTGTGCTGCTTGTTTTTTTATTGACGTCTCTGATGTATTCTTTCCTAGTTTTCCTTGTATCTTATAGTTATGTATGCAAAAATTAGTTGAATGAGGATAGATTTCAGGTTTCTGGTGATTCATTATTTGTTGTTAATTCAGAGCACGCTGCATTATTCAAAGACAAACTCTTTTGTTGACATGAGTGGAAGTGATAGAAAGCGCTCTTCAAAGTGGGATTTGAGTGATGAACCCAAACTCTCATCTGGTAGCAAGCAAATACGGTCTGGGCAGTCCTCTGCAGATGTTGCTGGTAGTAATAGTTCAAAATGGGCTTATTCAGAAGGAAATGATAAATTAAGACCTGTTATGGGATATTCATCAAAGGAATATTTTTCTGGAGATAGATGTTCAAATGAGGAAGATGCTATGATTAAAGACCATAGAATGTTGGATACAAGAAGAGAATGGGACATTGATGGAAGTTACGAGGAACGTAAACAAAAGAGACACAGTCAATCTCCTAAAAATGCTTGGAGCAGGTCAGTCTGATTTTATTTTCTGAATATTGATATTGATGGAAGCTTTATATGCATTTTTTTCGTTTTTGACTGTCATTTAATTCTTCCAGCATGACTTTAGACCAATTTTGTTGTGTATATTTTAAGAGTTACAAGGAAATGCGCGCGCACACACACACACACTAGACATAAAGAGCTTATTATTGGCCCAATACCTCAGACCCAGTTGTCCAACAGTTATATCTTGACTAGAATGACATTTTTATATTCTGGAGTAATGATCAGAAGGTGGGAGCTTTAAAGACAAAATTTACCATTTATCTATTATGCAATGTTGTGTTTCTTTATTTTGGAGGATGCTTCCCATGTCTGTATTTGTGTCAGATTTTTTTTCTTAATGAGTATTTTCTTTGATTTTGAGTACATCCTTGAACTCAGTTTAGATTTTTGTGAAGGTATTAATTGTTTTCGAGTGATGTCATCATTTCCACTATTGGATATTATTTATGGTATTGCTGATACTATTATGGCCATTGTTATAATATTTCTTGATGCAGTTTTATTTATTTATTTTAACTCTCTTCTTCCCTTGAATTTTGGTCATTGTCAGAAGCAGTCGGAGCCGTAGCCGTAGCTGGAGCCGTAGCCCTCCTCGTGGTTTTAGGCGGGATTCTGGAGTTGATGATAGAAAAAGGATTAGGGTTGGAGGATCAACACGACCATGCAGAGATTTTGCTGTTGGTAAATGCAGAAGAGGCAGTCTTTGCAATTTTCTGCATCATGATAACCAAAATCATGAGGATAGTTGGGAAGGCAAACACAGGGAAGATGGAGCTCCCAAATACTCTGCTACCTATGAGAGCGGCGACCATTCTTTTAAGAGTGGTAGATCTAATAAAGCTTGCATAAATTTTGCAAAAGGCAGCTGTAGAATCGGAGCATCTTGCAAGTATGTGCATGACAACGATTCTGATGGATATGGTAAAGTTTATATGGATGAATTCACTAGAGAAAGGGAAGATGGAGGAGCTCCTAGATATTTTGCTGCCCATGAGAGAGAAGACCGTTCTTTTAAGAGAGGTAGATCTAATGAAGCTTGTACAAATTTTGCAAAAGGAAGGTGTAGAATGGGATCATCTTGCAACTTTGTGCATGATAATGACTCTGATGGATATGGCAAAGTATTTAAGGATGAATTCACTAGAGAAAGGGAAATCGATAGAAGGCACAGAGATAATTCTTTTGAGCAGAGTGGTGGGCATGTGCCTAGCCGCACTAGTGACACTCCTTGCAAGTTTTTCGCTAATGGAAATTGTCGTAATGGTAAATATTGTAGGTTTTCTCATGATAGGCAATCATTTAAGAGCCCTAATAGAAGATTAAGGGATGATAGATGGGCAAGAAATCCAGGTGGAGATTATCAAATGGATAGACGAAAGTTGAGTGATTCCATTAGTCCAAATAGAAGGCTAAGAGATGATAGGTGGGGTTCAGATGGCGACATGGCTGATCCAGATCGAGTCAGGGACAGTCCAAAGCGGAATGATACAATTTCTGTCTCTGATACAGCAAATCTGATGGAGAATAAAAGTGGAAATATAGGCGCCACAGAGCCAGGATTTACTGCTTTGCCTATAACTGATGAATGGGGGCATGGTTTAGATAAGAGTAGGCTGCTCTGTAAACCACAGATTTCAAATGATAAGAAGGAAGCCAATCGTTGGATAGCAGCAAATACTGGTGCCAACATGCATGGTTCCCAGTCATTAGGCACAACAGACATTTGGCCGGGTGATGCAGAAATGTCTCCTGATTGGAAGTATAGGACAGGATCTTCTAGCCATATGGAAGAAGATGTACAGAATAAGCATGGTATAAGCCAAGGTGATACGTATTTAGCCATCTCTGAACAGGACAGAACACAGCTTGCTCCAGGTAAGCACATGCTTGATGTTCCTCTAACTGTGCAGCCCTTATAAATTTAACCCAAAATTTAACAAGTATAATGTTTAATTGAAATGTGATGATAAATGTGAAAAATAATTTTGCAGATTTTCACAGACCTAATACTTTCTACTGGTGTTTTTCCAGGACAAAGCATCAACCAGAATGCACAGAATGTAAATCCCTTGCATACTTCCAGCAGCCATGCAGTTGGACAAAGTCAAGTGGATGTTCGTACTTATCCTTCAAGAGAAGGAACTGTTGATGCTACCCACAGCCAAGAAGTATCCACTGAGAAAAAGTACTCTGTGGAATCTAATGTCATGGATTCGGGCTTATCACAAGCTGGTTCAATAAACCCTCCAACTCAAAACACAGTAAGCAATGAACAGCTTGCCCAACTCACGGATCTTTCAGCTTCTTTGGCTCATATCCTTGGATCAGGTCAGCAGCTGCCGCAGCTATACGCTGCCTTAAATTCTCACGATTTAAAGGGCAGTCCTTCCCAAGCAAATACTCAATTGCCTGCAATGCCTGTTTCAAACACATGCATCAAGCCAGATTCTGCTGTTGGGCTCCCAAAGCAGTATGATCCAATGAATGGTAGTAATGAGCAAAAGAATGCTGATGCAAGTGGCCTTCCCCCAACCATTCCTCCAAGTAAAAATATTGCCAAAGTAGAAATTCTGTCACCGTTGTCTAATTTAGGAAAACAAAATTATGGCGATTCTATTAAGGGTGCCTCCTCAGAACTTATCAAGAGTGATAATCTTATCCGTTTGCAGCCTGGTCATAACACAGTGCTTTATAACAATGAAGAGGTAGCTAAGGAAAGGAAAAATTCTCAAGATGTTCATAAAAGTGCAAAAGAGAATGGTCCGCAAAACACGGACCAAGATGGTAAACTTGATGATGACAAACAAACAAAGGATATGAAAGGGATTCGTGCATTTAAATTTGCACTGGCTGAGTTTGTTAAGGAGCTTTTGAAACCAGCGTGGAAGGAAGGTCAAATAAATAAAGATAATTATAAAACAATTGTGAAGAAAGTTGTTGATAAAGTATCGAGTACCATGCAGGGGGCCAACATTCCTCAGACACCAGAGAAAATTGACCAATATTTGTCATTTTCAAAGCCAAAGGTTAACAAACTTGTACAGGTCAGTTAGTGGTGCTAACTTATTACCATTTTGTTTTTGAAGAATTCTAAGTCATCTCCATTTTCTTTTTAAATATGAAGGTAGATTTAGATTAAACTCTGGAAGTCATTGCATTTGTTGAAAGCTTAATCTTTATGTTAAAGATATATTCTATTGTTGAAAAAAATACGGTCCTGTTTATATAATTTAATGTGTGAAAAAGACTTGTAAAAGAATTAGTAAGGGAGGGTGTACAAAATAGAGGATCGTCCAATTTTAAAAGAAGAGGGAGACCAAAGAAAACTACAGGTCAGTCCAATTTTTAAAGAAGAGGGAGAGGAGACCAAAGAAAACTATAGGTCAATCCATTAAATGATACTGATTTAATTGAACTTGATTTATTACATAACGTTGTTGGACCCATGCATCAAGCTTACAGGGTAAAGGCTTTGCTGCTGCTGTTTGCTAATAAGTTTACCAATTTCTTAGCTCTTTTTTGACTGCTGTTAAGAGTCCCACATCATGCCTGAACATATATTGTTTAGTGGGAGCAGTGTTGTTAATAGTAGATTGCGGAAAATAGTGAATCACCAAAAAACTGATGCGAGAGATATCGGATAGCATAGCAGAGACAAATAGCAGAAGCTGCAAAGCGGTCAAAATAAATAATTATATAAAATAAAACAAGCTATATAAACAGATATTAAAAAAAATAAATAATTATATAAAATAAAACAAGCTATATAAACAGATATTAAAAAAAATTGAGTGGCATTAAACTGTAAATCGCAAGTTCAAACAACTAAACATCGCTACAGAAAGCTAAAATAAAAAATAAAAATTGACTTAGAACTCAAAAGTTAAGCACATCTAAAACAGCTAATAATTGGTAGTTTTAAGTTTAATTAGTGATAAAAGATATAATTATTCTCCTTTTACCCAACATAATCATATCCTCATTATTCTCATTTTTAGGTAGTGAGACATATCCTTTCCTAGATGAAGAACTAATAGCCGAATTCTTCTTTGTTTTAGATGAAGTACCAACAACACTAGGGCTGAGAGATACTTTTCTCTTTTTAGTTTGTTTACCTAAGTAGTGTGGGTTTAGGTAAAATTATATATATTACTCACACCAACTTAGCACTCCACCACTTCATATTGTATTTTTTTAATGTTTTTATAATATGGGTCCACCACTTATTATAAATAATAATAATAATATTGGTTCACCGCCAAAAAAAAGCCTACAACTTAACTAATTCCGACATCAATACATAGCCGCTATACCTGTTTATAAGAAAAGCACTTCTATTTTGAGCATAGCAGAGTCGAAATGCAATACCACTTTTGTATCGGATAGCCAAAATTCTAATAAGCAATACTGGTATACCAGCACTATAGCTGATATTTAACAACACTGAGTGGAGCAATTCTTACATTACAAGTCGGTTTTGTAAAGTTATGTTTGGCCCAATCACAATTTTAGGATGATATATATATATATATATATATATATATATATATATATATATATATATATATATATATATATATATATATATATATATATATATATATATTCAAGCTCCGTTAGACCATCTAGAACATCTACGATTAAGTTTCTATTATGTGACCAACCGCATATTTTGTTAGAATGTGTTAAGTTCAACTACAACTTTAATTGACGTGGAAAGTTTAGATATGTATATTTGTAATGTCTCATCATATTTTGCCTTTAGAGATATATGTTAGCTTCTGCATCAACATTGCATTCAGAAATTTTCTTGTCTACGGTGTGAAACGATGACTATTGATTTCTTGTTGCCTTTCCATCTTGTCATATGATCCGTCTCTTTTATTGCAGGCCTATGTGGAAAAGGTTCAGGTTCAGAAGGGTTAGCGGTATTATAGTACTTTGGCTTCCAAATTTACTCAGGTGTTTATTCTCTTCAATGTTCACACTTCCTTACCTCTGGAGTTGTTTTGCCCTTTGTTCGAGCCCTGTTCCATATCTTTGCATGTTTTTGTGGGGATAAAATGTCGTCTATCAGTTTGTAGCTTTAACGTTAGGCAATTGCAATGTGGTTTTTGTTTTCAAAACTAGTTTCTATTGTAACCATAGCAGACATCCATTTTGTTTTTCTTTTCAAAGACATGGAACCAGAAGACGACCAGGCTTTTAAATTGGATGCTGATTCTTTCAAGCTTGGGTGCTTGTGTGAGCTCGAAACGGCAGTCTTAATTGTCATTTGTCTGTCTGGTTGTGTGGCAGTCAGTGAGTCGATGTCTATTTACATTTATAACCATTGATTCCATAATTTTGTCCAGTTGTAATTTTACTCAAACTTAACGTGTTCCAATAGAATCAGATTTAAAATTTGACAATTTTATGTTTGTTTACACTTCCAAGGTCTTTTACCATAGTCATGCTTTTTTCTCCGTTTAGATCATTGCATTACCTCGTATGTAAATGGTTCACATATCACACAGAATCAATCTACTTTCTTTTCTTCCCTTTTCCCACCCTTTCATCTCATTCCCAACCCTTCAACACCCTTCATCCAAATGGAGTAGATTTGGTGTGGTGGGTATAGAATTGGACTAAAATATAAAGATAGAATCAAGAACAAAATAGTTTTTTTTAACACAAGTTCTAATAAAGAACAAAATAATTTAGTTTAAGCTATATCAATAGCAACAACTTTTGAATAATGGAAGAGTTTTTGAATGAAATTCTTTGTTTTTGCCATTTCCACGCAGTCACCGTTGGTCAAGCGATCGAATGGAAGTGAATTTAAGTCTTCTAGACTGTTGTTATGAAATCTCACTAAAGGCTAAGGAGCCGCTAGTGTTATGAAATCTCACTAAAGGCTAAGGAGCCGCTACAGTGAAGGAGAAAGTAGGCTAAGGAGCCGCTACAGTGAAGGAGAAAGTGGACTTTGGACTTTGAAGGTGCGAAAAACAAAGTGGACTTTGGACTTTGAAGGTGCGAAAAACACAAGGGAGGGGGTTCGAATTGAGTTTTAAAATAGAAGTTTTTCAACCAACTCAAAAATCAACGCAATCTTGAAAAACAAAGTGGACTTTGGACTTTGAAGGTGCGAAAAATACAAGGGAGGGGGTTTGAATTGAGTTTTAAAATAGAAGTTTTTCAACCAACTCAAAAATCAACGCAATCAAAAGATTGAAAGGAGAAAGACAGAAGAAATTTTATCTTGGTTCACTTAAAAATTAAAGTTAATTCAGTCCACCCGTCAAAGTGATTTCGCTTTATACACAAGGACTTAATCCACTATAATCAACTGATTATAAATGCAAGCGACAATTGGTGACTAATGATAGACCACAATGACAAACTGAGGTCTCAAGGATTCTGACCCAACTGGTCCTTTAAGCAAATACAAACAACAAGTTTAAATAAAGATTTGTGTTACAAGTTGCTTTTACACAAGCAAATTTCACACAAATGAAATACAAATACTTAAAGAAAAAAAACACAAAGTTAAGAGCTTTTCTCGTAGAAATAGTCATTAAAGTTGACCTCTTCTCTTTTTTTCTTCAAGTCTCCAAGTCCTCTTTATATAGTATGAAAAAAGAATCATTGGAGGGCAAATCGGGAATACACAAAAATGCAGTTGTCTACTAACAGATTAGTGACAGGTGTGAAGAATAATACAGTCCTTAGGCCACAATTTCAGGTTAGTGGAAGAAATATTTTTCGTTTTGTACCATGTACTAGTTGATAAAGTATCCTTTTGATCTTATCTTCAAATTCACTGGCTTCTGATAAAAAGTTGATGAAACATGAAAAAAAGAATCTCATAGCTGAAATCAGAATATTTAGTCAGAACCTTGACAACGTCAATGTCTAGCTTGAGATCGTCAGAATCTTCAACTAAGTAACAAAACTTTAGAAGCTTGCCATTCTTTAAAAGTTTGATGATCAACGTCACATTCAGAAGCATAAACGGAGAGAACGTTGCAGCAGCAACATAACATCTTTCCAGAAGCTTCTTAGGAGTGAATTAGAGCAGAAGAGAATTTTAGAACACAAAGTTCAGAAACTGATAACTTTGCATGTTATATTGTCAGAATCAGAACTGTCTGTTAAAGCTACACAATAACAAACTGTTAGGGTACCAAAACTATTCTCACACAAATACTCCATTGTTATCATTAAAACTCAAAGGTATATATGCAAAATCAAATATTGTTCTAACAACATTTTTCTTTTTGATGATGACAAACCATGTATTTTGATGAGCAATTTGGACGAGAAAATCACAAAAGGATTCATCAAAAGAAGCACAAAGCTCCCCATGAGATGTACAATCTTTAAAAGAATAAAATTAAAATGAAAAAACACTTTCCTAATCAATCTTTTTGCAGAACCAGATGGATCTTCTATCAGAGTCTAGTTTATCTTCAGAAGTTGCTTGAACTAATCCAGAACACTGGTTGTCAAGGTCATGACTCTAATAAACTTTACTTCAGAAGCTTGATTAGATCTTGTTGAAAGTCTTTCTCAAACGGTGAAGTTGAACCTTCAGACTTAGAGAATAAACTTATTTCAACATAAAATGGTAACTTAAGTTCTGATATGAAAGTATTTCAAGAGCTTCTGATTTCTTTGAACTTTCCTGAAACACAACTAACAAAAGTATCTTCGAAGTAATTGTTAGCAAAAACATTGAAAAATGTTTGGGTTCTGATTCAGGAACATAAATATATCAAAATCACTACGTTTCTCTCCTTTGTCATTAATCAAAAAAGATATAGACAAAACAAAATAAAGAAAAGAAACAATAATTCATCGATAATAGCCCGAAGGCACAAGAGTACATGATAATCAGAATAGAAACAAAAAACACTAAATCAAAATAACACAAAAAAATGCACAAAAAATTTTTGAAAGCTAAGGGTTTGGATTCTGTGGAGGAGGAAATCTGGAGAGAATCAACTCAAACATAAAATCCCGCTTATCCAAGCATTGTTTGACTAGAGCATAATCTTCTTTCATCTCAGCAAGAGTCCTTATAATCTCAGGAATTACCCCAGAAGAAGTTCCAGCTGCTTGTTGATTTTCAGAAACAACAATTTGCTGTTCTGACAAATTGTCTTCAACTTGCTGTGGATCTTCAGAGACAACTTGCTTGACTTTGTCCAGTTGAGAAAAAGCATCCTTATGACAACATCTGAAAGCGCAAAATCTTCCTCTATACCCTTGGCTTTTTCCACAATCTCAGGAGCCGGAAGACATAATAGGTGAAATTCTGGCAAGCACACGATGGATGTTATCACGAATGTTATGACATCCACTGTAACATAGACTACTGCACTTAATAATAAGCTGTAAATGGAAATCAGTAAATAACACAAGTAATTATTCACCCAGTTCAGTGTCAACCACACTTACACTTGGGGGCTACCAAGCCAGGGAGGAAATTCACTATTAGCAGCATTAATTCAGAGTCAAACAATTCCAGTTTGCACTCTTCACTTAAGACCTACCCAATGACACTTCAGCTTAGAGACCACTAGACCAGAGTTTCCCACTCACTCCCCCTCAATCACCTCAGTGATATCAATACACAATTACAAAACCAATATGAAGATACACTTCAAACACACCTTGATCTTGCTTCACAATTTTGATCAAGGGACACGCACTCTTACTTAACAGCTTTGAGTGACACAATGAACACACCTGTTCATACACAATAACCACAACAATTCTACAGCATACAATTGCTTGGCACACAAGGAATCCTAAGATTCCTAGACTCACGTGAAGAACAAAGTTCTTCACTCACAATTCACACTCTATGATCTCTCACTAGGAGCTCTATTCTCTGCGTGTCTACCCATTAGGAATGGTCCTTCTGCTATTTATAATAGCAGACCTGCTTTGGGCCTTGGTAGAGAATTTAGGTTTACCCAAGATAAACCTTTCTTCATGAAGCTGCGCACTTATCATTAGGTTAGGAGTCTTTTATGTTATCTTCAACAATGCTTGTTATGTTGCCTAACATAACTATGCTTCCTGGATTATTTCCTGAAGTATAGCCTGAGCTAATAACAGAAAAACAAACTTGCGCGTCCTGATGTCATACGATCAATGTCATAACATTCAGTCATGACATTCAGCTTCACTTACTCTTAGCTTTCCCTGCATAACACTCTTCATGTATGTCTTAACATCAATTATGACATTTACTCATACATTAATATTTTGCCATAAAATGAAGCCAATCAAAAGCATCTACAAACTCTCCCTTTGGCAAATTTTTGGCTAAAACACCCTGTTCAGATATCAAAGTTTACAAGCAGCAGAAGTCTTAACCTAACATGCAGGAAAGCTACTGGCTACACAATATCAGTGCTGTCTACACACACTCACACTGTTAGCTCTCAGGATCAACCTGTTCACAATATAACCATCTGTTAGTCAGTACTAGAGATGTCACAATTTGTTGAGTAACATATCATAGTTACTCCCCCTCAACTAATGCATATCACATCAGCTGTACAAAACCTGCAGACACCCTGCAGTCACACATATTCATCCAGCCTACTCTGGATGTTATGACATTCAGGATGACATCCTGAAGCACACCTGCTGTGGAACAACCTGTGCTACTCCCCCTGAAGAGATGCACAACATTCTGCAATCATCCTACAGATACACACAACACTAACAGCTATGCAGCTACTAGGTTCCATCAAGCAACACACATATATCTAACATACATTCCTATACTCATTAGGAACTCACACATCACTAACAACATCAGCTGTTATCACACATGCACATTAGAAAAATCTTTAATCATGCATATTTGCTGCAGCCCTTGTCACACACCTGCAACATACTTGTAGCAGCAATTCAGCCAAGAGTCT